AAGATATCAATATTATTGATCATTTGTGGTGCATTTTGGAGCGACAAGTTAGGAGCCGCTATCCTCCACCGTCGTGTCGTAAAGAGCGGGAGAAGGTTTTAATGGAAGAATGACTGAAAATTCTTCTGGATGAAGTCAGGAACCTGTATGATTCCATTCCTAGATGTATTAAAGCTGTCTGTGAGGCTAAAGAAGGACCAACTCCATATTAAATAAATTTTCTTTGAATTTAACAAGTGTTCCAATTATTTTGTACAACCCCTGTACGTAGATGACACTTTCATACACTGGTCACACCGGAGAATATCTCAACTTCAACCTCCACCCCCCCATACAGTGTAGAGGAAGGGATCGTCCGCTGCTTACAACATCGAGCAAATGTATTAAGTGGCAACCCAGAGACATACGAACAAAAAGTGGTCAGTATAACCAGTACCCTTCAACTTAACAACAACCCTGGATACATTTCAGCAGCTCTGAAAAACTGGGATAGAAGGGTAAGAGAGGATAGCAACATTCAGAAAACAGCTTTAGTCTGCCTACGCTACATGAAGGGAGTATCGTAAAAGATACAAAAGTTCTGTGCTCCATATAACATCAGGACGGCCTTCAAAAGATGTTCAACACTTCACAGACACATTTTCCGAGTAAGGCGACCCCATAGAGGAGAACGTGACTATGGACCCTGTGTACGCCATCCCGTGCAGCTGTGGTAAGAAATATAATGGAGAAACAGGCCACATCCTTAAGGTAAGACTGCAAGAACATCGTAAATCCGCAACACGAGGAAAAATAGAAAAATCATACATAAAAGGGAAATCACCGCCCCCTGTAGGATGAGTTTCAAATAATAGACAGAGAACATCACTGGAAAATACGAAAACTTAAAGAATCAGCAGATACGCGAGACCACAAAAATATCCTAAGCCGGCCAAGAATAAAGATGAATGCAATATTGGAACCAACTGTTACGGTTTTTTGGGTATATACCGCCTATAACTAGTGAGCGAGTCAGAATGACTTATTTCCCTTTATAGTCAACCAATGGAAGGTTGACCAATCAGAAGCCGCCCAACACTGTATTCGTCGTGTATAAAGGCGGCCATCTTGTTTTCCTCTACCGGAAGGACCAAAGGCGACCAGGAGAAGGATGAACTACACTCTGTTGTGATATCCACTGCGAACCTCCACTACGCTTTCCTACTGTCTCCGAAATATTCACTGCCAACCTCTGGATTCTATACTCGAAGACGACCGTCATGAAAATGTCTAACACCAACAATACTGAATTCTATAAAAAAAGCAATAATAAAAACAAAAATTGCAATATTATTTCTTCGTAAAAAGATGTTTTCTGAGACATTAATTTTATAATTCATCAAGAATTTGTACCCAAGGACAAATGGCCCAGTGGATAAAAGCGTTGGTTGGATCCAGTGATTTGAGGCAAAGAGTTGTGAGTTCAATACCTGGTCAGTGTAGCGGTGAATAAATACTTTGAGAGTTGAGTTAAAGGGAGATAACTGAGACATCCGGAAGAGGCATGGCACGCGGAGCTAGAACAATCTACCCTGGTGGACGAAATTCAGTTCAAAATTCCAATCACCTGAAGAAGACTCCGGCCTTCTTCGGTTGGTTGGAAACGTCATGTACATGGGAACGAAGATGACAGTCCGAACAATGTAAAGAGAAATTTTCTGTTTCGCATTTTTGTCGTAATGTTTCTTTTAACCGATCAAGTAGCTGCTGGCAATAAATGTGATCTCCATTCTCTGTTCCAATACTAAACACATGGCTATGGTTTCCACTCGAACGAAACCGATGATGAAGATGAAAACGATGATGATTTCTCTGTCGCATACGATGGATAAACCTAATCGTGTTCTCTGTATAGCTGAGCACCGCGGGAAAGTTTCTAGACCTCTGACCTACACAACTACGACGGTGTTATCTCCATTAGGCTTTTCTGACCAGTCCCTGATCAGTCTCAAACATTGATGTCAAACCAAAGAAATAGTCGTTTAAATAACATGCCACCCCATGTTATAGATAACTTTTGAAATTTACTCATTTTGATCAGGAAGCCATTTGGGGAACAGTGCTCCAAACTGTCCACCTGTCAAACTCTCTGCCTTGAGCAGAGAGGAACCCGGACGACGCTTTGCTGTAGGGCAAAGTTTCGTCCGGGTAGGTAGACAGACCCGGACCCGTTTATGCGTGTTCTAACGGAATATTTTTTGCCGAGCCTAACGGTTTGGAGAACCAACGGTAAACTTGGCCTCGTGCCATATACATCCCTCGTGGGGTGGCTGTTAAATATAACAATGCTCCAAACTATTCAACTCTCGAAATCTGCCTTGAGCAGTGAGGAACCCAGACGAGGCTTTGACAAAGGGCAAAGTTTCGTCCGGGGAGGTAGACAGACCCTGAACCCGTTTATACGGGTTCTAAGGAAATATTTTTGGCCGAGCCTACGGGTTTAGTGAATCCATTGTAAACTCGGCCTTATGCCACATACCTCCCTTGTGGTGGTGGGGGGGCGGTTAAATATTATCAGGAGGCCATCTTTATATTTTTTCATTTGAGCGGTTTGTTTGTTTAACGGCATTTCAAAACCTTTATGGATGATTTAATGTCGAAATTTAATTTTCTTGGGTGCTTGCGTATTTTTTTCTATTTACAAAAATCTATTGCTGGTTATTTAATTTTTCTTTTCCAAAAATCTGCTACTGGTATTTTTTTTTTAATTATTTTTTTAAATATATACCTTCAGTTATTTTAACCCAGCTTAGGAGTTGCTTTGCTTTTTCTATCCTGAATCTTTCATGTTGTTTCTGTTCTACCATTATGCTTTCTTTTTTTTTAACCATCCCATTTTTTTTTATATTTTACCAGATTTTAGACGCAGCTGACCAGTTACAATTCCATTTCACCACACTCCATTGTGGATTACCTTCTTGAAATAATTTCACAAAACTTTCCATCGTTTCAATTGACAGTTCTTTTCTCAGATCCATGTTTCCTTTCAGTCAAGTATATCCAAACGCTTGCTGAGCTCTGCAAGAACTTTGTTTAAACAGTAGACTGATTTACATACCGAGGCCAATGTTTGGGGAGGGGTGTTTTAAGGATATAAATTACAAGATTATCCCATATTTTTCTCTACATGGCTTGGAACAAATTATACTATTAATTTAAATAATCTAATCTAGTTTGTTTAAACCGTGGAATTGCGACGGAAAATCACACCAATATTCTTCCAAAGAATGCATGACAATTCACAGATAGAAAAAGATGTGGAGAGTCATGATCACAAAAGGTAATTAAAAAAAGAAGATATGGAATAGTTTTTTCGAACTATGCTGCTTACTTGAAGTTCTCCTACACGACAACACAAGGCCGCATACAGAAAGAATAACACAGGAAAAACATTTGGAACTCGGTTGGTCTGTTCTACCCAATGCGCCATGTCCACCTGACCATGCACCAAAGCAAGAATAACAAAGCAAAATTATTTGGAATTAGGTTGGTATGTTCCGCCCAATCCGCCATATTCAACTAAGTTACCACAACAGCAAGAATAACATATGAAAAATAATTGGAACTCGGTTAGTCTGTTCCACCCAGTTCGTCATGTTCAACTGATCTTGCACCACAGCAGGAATAACAAAGGCAAAACATTTGGAATTCGGTTGGCCTGTTCTACCCATTCCGCCATCTTCATTTGACCTTGTACTACAGCAGAAATAACACAGGAAAAAAAAAAACATTCTGAAATCGTTTCGTCTATTCTACCCAATCCGCCATGTTTACCAGACACTGCACCACAGGAGAAATAACACAAGAATAAAATTGAAACTCAGTAGATCTGTTCTTTCCAAACCACCATATTCACTTGACCCTGCACTTACCGACCATTACCTTTTTCGTTCGTTGAAAAATGCTTTTGAGGGATAAATTTCTCTAATGGAAACCAGATTCAAGTGTTTGTTGAAAATATTTTCACGCCAAAACCAGCAGAATTTACTGAAATGTTTTCGATTTTCTGTCAGCGAATCATTGCAAATAACGGCGGATATATAGTCGAATAAAATGCCATTATACTTTACTTTTGAAAAACAAAACTGGAAATTAATTATAATAAATTATATGTATAGAAGTAGATCGGAGAAAAGGTATACTTAAATGAAGTACACAATAAACTTCACTTATAAATATATATATTTATAGAAACATAAAATGACCGGCCCCTCATATATATATATATATATATATATATATATATATATATATATATATAGAGAGAGAGAGAGAGAGAGAGAGAGAGGGAGAGAGAGAGATAGGTACCGCCACTTTTTCAGGTAAAAACAGCGTAGAATCTGTCTATATTTCTGAGATGAGGTATTATTTACACTATTTAGATTATTAGGACTACTGTCCTCATCTTTGTCGCCATATTTATTACAACGTTTCGGCCGTTCTACGCTCCGGCCTTCTTCAGGCGGTTGGAATGTCGAACTGAGCAATTTATTTTTCTCGCTGGTGTAGACTGTTCTAGTTCCACGTGCCATGTTTAATGGATGTCAGTTATCAGTTATCCATTGTTAATTCCCCTCTCCAAGTTCTCCACTGCCTTAACCAGGTAGGAGGAGCCGAGTTCCAATTCCAGTTGGGTTCGTTATATTCACTTACGCGCAAATACCCTTGTGCAAGGCATGAATCCATATATTCTCGTATCCTGCTATGGGTTAATTAGTAAGAATTCTATCACTAAAAACATTATCATTGCCTAAACATTCTTACAATCCCAAATAAAAAATTCTGATTTTAAATAACCTGTTGAAAAACGATCCAATAAAGAAATCAATTTTATCATTTCCTTTTTTTACTTTTTCTCTCTAAGTCTATTAATCTCTCTTTTTCTCATTTCTCACTCTCTTATTCATTCATATTTTTATCACTCTCTCTCTCTCTCTCTCTGTTCACACCCGTACAAATCGATGCCTTTATCCTTTTATCTCGCTTTCATTTTTCTGATCTTTCACTCTTTAGCTATCTTAGTCTCTTTCTTTTCTTCTTTCTTAGTTAACCGTACTGGATATGACGATAAAGTACATCTGCTTCCTGGGTAAGACGATAATCTACGTCCGGCAGCAAGCCTCTGATCAGGAGGTTTTGAGGAGCGTGGAACCATCTCTTAATTGCTGGTGTTCCCAGGTCCACTCTAACGCGGGGTGGTGTGACACCATTTACCGAGACAGGAAAAGAAAAGAAAGAAAAGAAGGCAAAAAAGAGGCGAGACCCAAAACGTGGATGATAAGCAGGACACCACGGCTAAGAGACAATGGTTAAAGGATATTTTGATAAGTAACAAATGGCGAAAGAGTGTCATTACAATGACAGGGAAATTCTGAGTGGATAAAGGAATCGGGTGTGTTTTGGCGACGGCTGTGTTATCTGGGATGCGTAAACAAACTGCTGGCCAAAGAAAAATCCAAATGAAAATGTTATTTCGATAAGTGACGGAAAAGAGGTGGACTAAAGGGCTTTGGATAGATATGAAAAATTTGTGTCAAAAGCCGCACACGATGTGTCCACTGACCGATTTCTTTCGACGGAGACATCTTTGGCCTGCGATAATAAAATTATGTTATCAGAAATATGTACCGAAAGAAAATGAATGGGAACTTAGAAATGTTCTTTTCGGGGCGACGTCTGGCCCTGTTAAAAAGCCACCCATTCTGATAATTAGCGATAAGATGACTGACGAAGCCCAGGTGTAGAACAAGAGTTATGACCACCGTCGTTCATATTATCCTGTTTGCGGCTAGAGAAAATGATAACTGCGATTAAGAGGAAGAAAAGGAAAAGAAAAGATAATTTTTTTTTTTTTTTTAGTTAAGCAAGATATTTTTTCCTGAAACAAAGCCGCGGATTCGTCCACGCCCGAATAAGACACCATTGGTCGAGTGGTGATCATGTGACGCACGAAGGAGGCTGTCGCCGCCCATCCAGAGGATAGGTATGAGAAGATGTTACGAAGAAGTGGGAAGGGCAGCTCACGCCCCTCTGAAGTATGGTGAGAAGGTGGGGAAAGAAAAAGGCTCCCAAAATGGAAAAGAGTGGAAAATTCCTAACCAGAAATAAAAGAGGTGGATATGTATTTAGAATTATCGAGGACCCCCCCGACGCAGACAAACCCACCCCTGATTTTGGTCGGCGTCCATATAAGCGAAGCCGCAGCAAGCAGAAATCAGTTGAGTTCCAGTTCAGCAGAGTGGAGTTGCAGCAGAGAGTTCGAAGCTCGCAGTGGAAGTTGGTTCCGCCTCGCAGATAGCTGACTTGAAAGATTCACGCACATTCGGACTCCTCTTCAATCCAAGAACAATTATTTTGAAGAGCGACTTAGATCCAGACCACAAAATAAGTTTTTTTTTCGACTTTCGTCCGAAGACACAGCGAAAAACCAATTTCTTAAGAGCAAACAACTTGAAGCGTTAAAACTCGCCTAACGGAAAACAACGTGTCACAATCCATAGAACGGGTCGGGAGATAGACGCAGTCCTATGTATCGAACAACTAGACATAAAGTTTGTTATCTTTTTTTTGATACCTTGAACTTTTGAGTTTTCATTTTATTTTCTTTTATGCATATTTGTGGTGTCACCCCGTTGAACCCGATTTGCATTACGGCCCCAATTACTGATTGATCTGGTCTGCCTAAGATCAATTCACAACGTGGGTAGTCAGACTGGGGTCAATGCAGTTACTTTTGGTAACCAGGCGTTGGAAGCGAGTTGGGAACGACGAGGCTGATATCAAATCTAACCAGATTCCCACCCGAATCACCAAAAGATTAGAACGTCACATTTGGGTTCAGCAACCGATACCAAGCCAGTTAGTCGTCACATGACGAGACAACACGACTGACGCGACAGGCGGACGTCACGTTTGGAGCGGCGACACCCGAACGGAGCAGCGAGGAGCGAACAGCTGGCGCCGCGGCAAGGACGTCACAGTTGGTGCCGTGGTAGACCAGGATAGGACGTCACAGTTGGCGCTGCGACCAGGGGACGACGTCACAGTGGTAGCACCTGTTAGGGTCCCATCTATGGACAAATAGTTAACCCCCAAACTGGGGTCAAAACACTATGAAAGTGTAAAAATAGGTTTTAATACCATAAATACTTTGTAAAAAAATTATTACCAGGAATACATTTTTGAAAATAAAAATATTACCAGCAATAAAAATTTTATAAGCATTAAATAACCGATTGAGGTTGATATACCGTAAAAGAAACCAAATCAAATCTTTCTTAGGTTATTTCCTTCTTTACATGTTTAGTTTTCCGTTGCTTTCTTTCCTTCCTTCTTTCTTTCTTTCTTTCTTTCTTTCTTCGTTCCTAGTTTTCCTTCCATACTTTCCTTCATTTGTTCTTTTTCCTTTCATTTTCATTCTTGTATATTATTATACATATTTATTTTTCCGTTCCTACTTTTTTCTTTCTTTTTTCTTTCTTTCTTTCTTTCTTCACATGTTTATTTATTTTTCCGTTCTTACTTTTTCTTTTCTTTCCTCTTTCTTTCTTTTTTTGATTTCCTCTTTCTTTCTTTCTTTCTTTCTTTGATTTCCTCTTTCTTTCTTTTTTTCCACTTTTCCTTCCGTTCTTTTTTTATTTCTTTACATATTTATTTTCCATTTTTCCTTTCTTTCTTTCTTTTCCTTCCATTCTTTGTTTTTTTCTTTCTTTCTTTTCCTTTCATTCTTTCTTTCTTTTCCTTCCATTCTTTCTTTTTTCTTTTACTTTCTTTCTTTCTTTTTTCTTTTCCTTCCATTCTTTGTTTTTTCTTTCTTTCTTTTCCTTCCATTCTTTCTTTCTTTCTTTCTTTCTTTCTTTTTTTACATATTTATTTTTCCGCTCCAACTTTTTCTATCATATCATTTTTCTTTCTTTCTTTTCTCTATTTCCATTTCCGCCCCTCCTCCACAACTGTTTCCTACAATTACTTATGCCAAATCATACAATTTCTCCGTCTGTCCAAGCTGAAAGCATCTTTGAAATTGACACTAAACACATTATATGTCGTCCGTAAAGCTTTCTATTAACAAGCCTATTTTGCCGTCGTTCGCTTTCGTGTTTCGACAATGACGAAAAAAGACCTGCTATTTCATTTTCTTTCAGATCTGCAACTAACCTATTCTTTGTGTTCGTTTACCACAATATGGCAAAACACACACAATGAACAGACGCTAACAAATAAATTCGACAAACACGTGCAGATAAAATCTAAAACAAAAAATATGGATTGGATGACAAATATCTGAACTCCCTCTTCAGAGCATTGGGGGTATACTAACCGTAAGTATAGTCATTAATAGGTTTTATATTTGGAACCTCCACGAAAAAAACTCGATTACTAATTTTAAAATGAAAAATGTTCCTTGAAATTTTTATCTTACTTTTAATTTCAAGCTAATAGATTAAATTTTTAATTAAGTAATTTATCGAGTCTTGAAGAATCCTTAACAGAACGCTGAAAGCACTGGACGGCCATTTCGTCCTATTTTAAGACTCATCAGCAGAGCGCAGCCCCTACCGAGAATCGAACGTGGACCGTTATGATATCGACGCAAGTGTCGTAGCCATTGGACCAAACTAGACTCGATGCAGCGCCGCTCTTCACAAATTCCGTTGTGTAATTCATCCAAGTTTACTTAGTACAACGGACTTTACCCCCACGAGTCACGACTTCTATCCCCAAGCCGCTCCATCCAGAGCATTAGAAGCCGGTCCAAGCAAGAATATACAAGCGATTAGAATAATTATAATTAAGTAATTCATAGAGTCCAGAAGAATCCTCAATAGAATGCAGAAATCAATGAACGGCTGTTTCGTCCTATTTTGGGGAATCATCAGCAGTGCCCATCCACTACCGAGTATCGAACCTGGATCAGCAAGCGTCATTGACACTGGACCAACGGGTCTCGGTGACAAATCGATAACTATTTGGACTCGATATAGCGAATTTAATTATTAAAAATCCTCCTAATATATTTTCTATCAGATTAAATTTAATATTTCTTCACTTTCGTCCAGTCGCGAATTAATTGATGAGATACTCGGTGGATCGTCTCAATGTTTTTCGGGTAGTTCTTTCAAACAAGCTTGTAGCGTCTGGGCCCAAGAATTACCTTCTATTCCACTAGACACACCAAAACAAAAAAGCTGGGATAAAATAAAATGCGAGGCATTTTTTTCTAATTTGAGGCTCTCTCTGGATCAGCATCGCCTCGCCTGTCTACTATCTGCTTCACAACCGAGTAGTGGCGCCTGGCTCAACGCAGTACCCTCTTCATCTACCGGTACCCTTCTAGATGATGAGTGCACTCGAGTCGGAGTCGTGATCCGTCTTGGACTCAAATTGTGTGAGCGTCACAGATGCAGATGTGGAGCTTCCATCGATGAGTTTGGTTTGCATCCCCTCTCCTGTCGTCGTAGTGCCGGCCGCTTTCCACGGCATGCTGCCATTAACGACATCATCAAAAGAGGTTTGGATGCAGCTGGGTTCCCTTTCCAAATCGAACCCGTAGGCCTCGACCGTGGTGATGGAAAGCGGCCGGATGGCATTACCATTTTCCCTTTTAAAATGGGGAAGTCGTTGATTTGGGATGCGACCTGTGCGGATATATTTTCGGCCGGTAATTTGATCAGATCCGCTGTTGAGCCGGGGTCCGTCGCCCGGGACGCAGATATAATAAAAAAAATAGTTAAATATTATTCTTTTGCTGATAGATTTTCTTTTACTCCTGTGGCAGTGGAGACTTCTGGGGTTATTGGCTGTCGTTCGATGGCGTTCCTTCGGAGGATTGGCGCGATTGCGTCTCGATTAAGGGACGAGGCTCGCGAAACGGTGTGGCTCTTGCAGCGTGTCTCACTGGCGATTGTTCAAGGTAATGCTTTCTCCATCATTACAGCTGACAGAGGATAGAAAAAAAACAAAAAAAAAATTGACCATTATTAATATCATTTCCACTATAATTAAATTTTATGTTGCTTTTCATTAGGCTAACTGAAAAGTTTAGGTAAATTATGAAGGACGCTAAGTGACGTAATTTAATATTTCCAATAAGCAAAATACTTTGCTGTATTTTAAAAAATAATTTGAATTTAATGGAAGGAGTTCTTTTTTTCTTTTGCTAAAATAGCTGCTTAGCGCCCTTTTTGAGTCGTCTTCTCTCGCAATTTTCTTTTTTAAAAAAAACTTTCAAAACTAAAATATTCTTTTCTGAAACTTTATTTGAGGAATTTTAGCTGATTTAAAGGATAATTAATTCGATTTAAAACAATTTTTTTGGAGATACCTACTTTATATCGTTCGTTATTTTGGAACTAAGAATATTATTATATTGGTGTCGCACACTGATGCTGCTAATGGTAATCCTGTTCTTGGGGCAGATATGTTATGAAGACTGTTCTAAACCTCAAGAACATTTCGAAGAATTCTCGCAAAGTCAATGACAACAGTTTTCTGGCGGTCTACAATCTTTGTCTAAATTCCAATTCTCCTTAAGCAGGCTTTGAAATTTTTAGGTAGTTTCAAGCGCGTTTTTAACTACAGAAATTTGGACACGTCAATGGGGTGTAATGGTTAACAAACTTGTCGTGTTAGATTAGTCACGACTGAGTAGTGTGTTCAATCCTCACTTGCACCACATCTTGGGATGTGTGCTGTGGTGTAATGGATATTGGCTCGGTGTGAGAACTCGGAGAGCCGTGTTCGAACTCCAGTCGGGTTCGTTAAATTCACTTATGCACAAATACACTGGAGAAAGGTATGAATGCATCTCTTCTCTACCCAGCTATGGGTAAATAGCTGGACAGACTAGGTTCTTTAGCCTTAGTAATAGAAATTTTACTGCGGGAAAAAAAATCTGCCTCGTCAGACATGTATCGAAAGATACATGATCGCCCAAGCGTGTATGACGCATGGCACTTGACTGACTGACTACCACATCTAAGCGACGTTTAGAAAAACGTAGGGATACGTCGATGTAGTGTAATGGTTAGCAAAATCAGTTACGACTGTGTAGTGAGTTCTATCTTCACTGGGTGCTCCAAAATTTTGGGCCTTGTGCCACCTCTAATTTACGCTTAGAAAATAATTTGCAAACTTCGACGTGTCTTAATGTTCAGCAAATTGTCTCGCTAGATCAATTATGACTGAGTAAGATGTTCGATCCTCACATGGTGCTCAATTTTTTCGGCCTTGTGCCACATCAGAGTTACGCTTAGGAAATCCTTATTAGTACAAGAATTATTTCAACTGTTATGTTCCATAGACGATAATTTTTGTTATTATTGTTGTTAGTGTTGGTGGTGGAGTAGCTGCTGTTGGTATTGCTGCTGCTGCTGCTGCTGCTGCTATTATTATTATTATTACTATTATCATCTCGTTGATTTATATATTCTTCTGATACTTTTTATTATTATTATCTTGCTGCCCTCGCAGAATAAAGAATGGCAATTTTTAGGAGGACTATAATCTTTGTCTCAATTCCAGTTTTCCGTAGGCGCCAACTTGACGATCCAAGTGCGCCCATTACTATAGAAATTAGTTCAACAGCCATATGCCGTAGCCTCTTCACCTCACTAGCCAGGTCCCAGCTATGGGAAAATAGTTAACCTCACAAACTGACGTTAAAACACTACGAAAGTATAGGACATTTTTTTTATAGTAAAAATACCAGCAATACATTTTCATAGTAAAAGTATTATCAGTAATACATTTTTTAAAAGAAGTTACAAATGTTCCCAAGTGTTGTGGTACGATCCACCTAATTTACATAGTGGAGTACCGACCATATAAATATGTGTTGGTACCGGGAAGACGAGGGGAGTAATCAAGAGATCCAATCCAGAGACTCTGCCCGACTGCGACTAATGTCAACCCATTCTACAGGAACGGTCTTCCCAAGAATATACCAAAACTAACTGTAAATATTGTGTACCTTTTCCTTGTTTCAATACATTTTGTTTACGTACATTTTGTGTTGTATTATTATTATTCCATGCTTATCCAAGCTTCAACACCAAGGTAACTAAATTTCGTTATTAAATGACCCATAAAGAGTTGATATGCCGTTAAACAAACAAACAATTTTCTCTTTCCATATTTTCCTTCCCCGTTATTTTTTTTTTCTATTCTTTTTTTTTACTAATTTTAATTTTTCTTTTTCTCTTTCCTTTTTATTAATCTTTCATCCTTATTTTATACATTTTTTCTTCATTCTTCCTGCTTTCTGTATCATCTGCATGTTTTTAATATTGTGCCCTCCAAGAATAAATCCTGATAGGACTTCTAGTTCTCTCAGATTCGCCTAGCTGTGTAGGTTGAATTAGTCCGCTGAAAAGATTATATACAGTGTCTGATGTCAGGCTGACCTAAACTAATTATAAAAAAAGTGACAATTGTTCTGATTTGCTTTCCATTGTTTCCTTATTTTAGTACCTCAAATATACAAATTAAAGTGCAGTACTAAATTGGCGGTAAAGTCTCATCATCCTACAGTTGTTTCTTTCTCTTTCTTTCCTCTTTCTTTTCCTACAGTGTTTGTCCTTTCTCTTTTCTTTTCTCATTTTCCCTCCTCCTTTTCTCTGATTTGCAATTTCCACTTTGGGCTCATTCTTTTGCTAACAACCATACATTCTGTCTTCTTACAGTTGATGTTTAATCCTTTCTTCTTCGTTTTCCTTCACTAACCTCTGTAGGAGTTTTATAACTTTTTGTATCTGCTATTAAGCGTGTCGTCTGCATACCTTATGTAGTTAATATTGTGCCTTCCAAGAATGAATCCTGGTAGGACTTCTAGTTCTCTCGGATTCGCCTAGCTGTGTAGGTTGAATAAGTCCGGTGAAAAGATTATATACTGTTGACCTGAACTAATTATAAAAAAGTGACAATTGTTCAGATTTGCTTCCCACTTCAGTACCTCGACTATACGAATTTAAGCGTAGTAAGAATTAGACGATACATTCTCATTCTCCCGTTGAAACAGCGAAACCGTAAGTTCTATGCTAATATTTTCTTCTATCGCACTTCTCGCTT